TTTTTTTTAAAGAAACCATGTATTTATGTTGACTTTACTGAATACTGCGTCTTATTGAAATAAACACAATCACAACATTTGTCCCAACTTCTACCAGCAAAAAGCAAAGATACTAGTCAAAGTGCAGAATCCACTCAAAACCGTATAGAGTCCCGTTATCGCCACGGGACAATGAAATTCTAAGAGCTTTTGTTTTTTTTGTTCTCATTAATTATAACTTAATCCACACACACACACACACACACACACACAACCTTCAAACATTTTAAATCCTAAAAAGAGAGCCTTAGATCTGAGTATACTTAAATCATTCCAAAAAAAAGAGAGTTTCTGTACCAAATGAAGTTGTGCTACAGCTTTTAAAAATATGCAAAAACAAAAAAAAGAGAGAGCAGACATTCCATCATTAATAAATACATGCATCCATTATCTCGTCTTACACAAGCAAAAATGAAAAGAAATCCTTCCCCCGTCCGAGCGGCTCCTTCACACGCAGCTCGTCGTGTTGGCGTTTCACGGGATGAGTCGCTCTGTAACAATCTGGAGCGAGCTGTTGACCACGTTAACCAGAGACCAAAAAAATGGAAACAGCAAATGGTGCAAAACAATCATATGAAAATACAGATTATCAGTGGATTATTTGGATTTTTTTTTTCATCTCTAACTATTACAAAAAGCATTTTTAGAAAAAAAAAAAGCAAAAAGTCATTAGTATAATAATAATAATGATAAAGATGTGTCACTAATGGTCCACTAGTCATTAACATATATATTTATATATATTGGCCCATTTATTGATAACCGGCTATAATCCTGGCTGTCAGTGTTCAACATGTTCCATAATATTGATAACTAAACAATTTAAAATAAAACTATCAGTTACAAAGTGCACAAAAGACAAAATACAAAATGGGAAATAAAAAGCCTGAGAAAAAGAAAATGATAAATTAGCTTCCCATGCTATTGTACAATCTTGTAATAGGTAGTGGGACAAAGAGCTGAAACATCCGCAGTAGCAGGAGGGTGAAGTCCGAGCAGTAAGAACCGGGCCGTGGTCACCTCGTGGTTTCTGGTTGTTTCCAGGAAGTAAGTTTGTGATTTGGTACGAGGAAGAACAGGGACAGCGTTTAACTTGGTCATAAACTCTGATCAATAATCTCAAGAGGTTCAATTTGCATTTTATGCACAAACAAGAATAGAATTTAATTTAGTATTTAATTAGAACAAAAGGGAAATTCCTGTGATTTGTACCAAATTACATTTTTACATCCAGGAAACCTTCCAAAGAAATTTACAGACTTATTTTAGACAAAACAACAGATGCAACAGGGAGTAAATGTTGATTTAAACTTTTACAGTTTCCAAATGAAGCGCTCACTCCAACCCGACTGTAAATATTGACTCTAGGTTTAGCTGCCCCACGAATCTGTGGATGACGAGTATGTGTGTGAATATTAACTTATCAAAGCGCTCAGTAACTATGTGTGTGTGACGGCTATTAGTTAACAGCAGACTCCTCGTTAGCTACGATATGCCATCACATTCCTGCTTCTGTCTCCACAAATGATAAGACTTGTAAGAACTAGTTGGCAAAACACATCACAACAGGAGCAGAAGCGTCATTTTTAGAAAAGCTGTTTGAGAAAGTGTTGTGTTGTGTGTTTTATATTTTAGGTATCCAGAATTAATCCACCAAATGAGATTACCACAGATTCTTCGAGCGTGCCTTCCTCCTGATAAACTCTTTAAAAGTCAGAAATAAACCAGAACATGTTTATTTGATTCTGTTGGGAGCAGAGGGGCGTCGCGTTAAAACCCATTTCCACAGGTAGAAAACAATGCACGCTCCCGCGTTCGTGCTAATTAACCGGGAGGCATGGATGTACCAAATTAAACAGGCTTTCAGCTTAAGAGAACCTAAAAGCTTGCAGAGCCACGAGGGCTTTGTTCCACACAGAGGCACAACAGAATGAACTGCAGGGGGAGTGTCTGAAAACCGCCGAGGGATTTGCCTTGTTGGGACTGGTCCTAATGACCCAACAGAGTGAAGGATGATTGATTTTGGTGGCTGAAGTTCAGTGAGAGGCAATTTTGCATTTATGGTGGGCAGAAATCAGCAAAGTACGGGTGCTGCAAGGCCTCCTCTGCAGAGATCCTCTGGACAGGATTACATTTCAACAGGTTCTGCGTGAGCACAAAGACAAACACTTTAAAACGTGAACAGAAATATTTCTAGCAAGCAAATCTAGATCTCATTCTGCTGCAGGTTCTGAGATATTTGCACAAAAAAAAGATGTAAAAGTTTTATTGAGCACAGACGTCACTAGTGTTTGATAACAGCAGCGCACACGTAGGAAGAAAGACACAAGTTGAAAAGAAAAACATCAACAGCTGAGTTCAAAATCAAAGTACCTGAAGTAGATCCCGTCCCGTGCTACTAAGTTTGGGGACCACATTCACCAGTGAGGTGGTGGCTGGATACATGGGATATGGCTGCAGGAGGACAGAGAGAAAAGCTCAGTGGAAGCTCCGTCCACTGTGGGCTTCACAAGAAATAGAAAACAAAAACCGACATCAGTAAATGTACCTTGTAATCTGGGAGTTTCGTCATCGTCTGCCACTGCTCTTCAGTCGGCGTACCCAACAATGTGCCCGGTGGTTAAAGACAAACTTCTTCACTGTTCATAAATAATTGATTTGCATGAACAAAGCTGGATGGTTTCAGAGGCCCACGAAGCAAACTACAGAAAACAGGAACATACCGACACGACTGAAGCTAAGAAAAAAAAGGATATCTGAAGATTCTTTTCAACTGGTCGTCCACATCGTTGCCGGGGAACAAAGGCCTTCCGGCGTTCGCCAGCTCTGGAACACAAGGAAATATTTGTGTTTATGGTTGAACGTGATCGACACGCGACACACTTTCACACAGATTCTAATTTAACACAAAACCTGAAATAGTAGGAACCAAAAAACTAAAATTAAATAAGTGCTATGCATAAAATTGTAGCATTAAACACTGACAACATTTTTCCACCCTATAGCTGTCTGAGCAAACTGTGAATTTAACTAAAAAAAGCCACCTGAGTTAACAAAAAGCTTCTACGCCTCTTTTTAAATACTGCACCAGACTCCAAAGATCTCACATCATTTGGTAAACTGTTGGAAAAGGATTTAATTTAAAAAAAAGTCCCTATGAAGGTTTGCTACTGTTCTCAGGCAGCTGTAAACAGTTTGGTGTTTTGTGCTTTCTGCTTTTAAACAAACAACTTGTTGATATGTTAATTGTCAAAACGATTAAATGGATGAATTGTGAATTTTCTATATTCATTCAAACTGCATCCTATCAACACTCGTCACAGAACATCGGTCTAAAAGACAAGAATAGTTTCATTTACATTCTCATTCATGCAAACCTGCGAATATGCATCCAGCGGACCACATGTCGATAGAGGTAGAATAAAGTTTAGCACCAAACAGCACATCTGGAGGCCGGTACCACAGTGTCACCACCTACATACACGTCACAGTAGAGCAGAACGGTTACACAGCACAACAAACTCCAACACAATCATTTAGACATTCATGTAATTACGGTTTTCTCAGGTGGATGTAACAGGAAACGGATTTGGCACAACCACTGCACTGTGAACCTAACATCTGCCTCTGGTTTCCACTACAGCTTCTTAGCGTTTCGTTCCAAACTGCTGCCTAGTCGGCTGGTTTCAGCACATTTTTCCATTTCTTATGAAAATATGTCAACTCAAGTGCAAAAAAAAAAAACGAAATGCAATTACAGAAAAGTTGTATTTCCCAGAGCGCGTGTGTGGGCTGGATGCAGGCAGCTGGAAGTGAAGCGACTCCGCTTCCAAAGTGCAAAAGTTCAACTCAGTGCAAATGTTAATTGTGACCACCTTCTCCAGAAGCACCAGAACTTCTCGTAAGTCACCAAGAAAAATGGCATTTTGTACAAAAAAAAAATGCTCACATTGTTGTATGTAAACAATACTGAACTGCCTTAAAGTTTAAGAACACAAACTCACTTATTTTGGTTCAAACACCGCCCACCTGTGAGTTCTGGGAAACTTCTAAATTCGGTTAATAGCTTTAGAGAGTAAAACTGTGCAGAACTTCTGCATCTTTCTTGCATTAAAACATCCTCTTGAATCTTTAGGAATCTGACCCTGATGTGATGTGAAACAACTGCAGGATGATTCGATTCTTCTTGCGGAAACAGTACAGCTCGTCTCACGGTGATACTTCCAGAAATTAAATAACATTTTGAAACGGCCGTACTTCAAGCTCCTTTTCCGTTTACTACAGTTTCAGATCAGCTCTGTCGCCCTCCTACGAGATCGGCCCTTAAATCAGCCGAGCAGAACCAGTAAACTTATCTGGTCTGTCACTGCTCTGATAATATCTGCAACGGCAAGAAACTCTAACCCCACTCGCTGCTGCGTGCGCCACTCGGTTCCATCATTAATTTAACAGATTTACGTCCCGATATAAAGAGAAACGAACAAGACACACACACGCACGATGAAACCACAGAATCAGGACATTTTCACAGCCTTGAAAACAAGAACCACATATTCTGTCAATGTCTGACGTTCACATATTAATACTGTGACTCCCTTTTATATTTATATTTGGATTTTTAGGTCATGTCATCCAGTTCTCAAACAAAGCCAGACAGCTTTGGTTTTCACTGATTAAATGTGGTTTTGTTGAACATGTTTCAGCACCAGATTGAGGACTGTTTATCTTGGATGCACATATTTCTTGAAAGCGTAGTTTAAAGTCCTTTCATACCATTAATCCTTCCCTCACTGACAATCAAAATGCACAGATAACAGTCTTTAGAGGTGCCAGAAAGTTTCACTTTTGCGCCGGTCATATGTTTTTAGCTGGAAGTTAATGCTGTGTAATAATGCACAACCTACCTCTGCTGAGTAACACCTCACAGGAATGCCAAAAGCTCGAGCCAAGCCGAAGTCAGCCAGCTTTAACTCCCCGTTCTGCAGACAGAGAGACAAATCTTTATATTTATTTATCTTATTTTACATTTACCTTTTTTTAACGAGTTTACATCAAGTTAATCACAAACCTAACAGTCACTTTGCCCTTAGTTTCAACAGTATAGGAACGGTACACCGACAGAGTCAAATGATTTGCACGCACAGTGATAAATGTTTACCAGCCGCGACGTCAAAGTCCAAATGCACCTAAACACTCACTCTGTTGATGAGGAGGTTCTGCGGCTTCAGATCTCTGTGAAGAACGTTTCGACTGTGACAGAAGGCGAGGCCTTTCAACAGCTGGTACATGAACGACTGAAAAACAAGAACAGAGACAATATCTGAGGAGTTAACGCCACGGTTCCAAAGACGTGCCTGAGCTGACAGTCTGAGGTCAAAGACTATCTAAATATACATACGACACTCTGGTTAAACTCTCCTCAGGATGCGTCTTTCTCACCTTCACAGTTTCAGGATCTAGATCCCCATTGCAGCTGTCAAAATACTTCTTCAAATCCTGCAGCGGTTAAGAAACACAGATTAGTCTCAGAAGGTACATATTAACATAGCTTAGGTTGGGGATGGCTGTCTCACCTGATCACAGTATTCGAAAACCAGGGTTAACTTCTTGTCACTGTGCAGAACATCATGTAGTCTGCAGGAAACACAGCAGCAGTGAGATGATGCTTGTTGACATCAGGGTTAGATGATAACTGATTGGTATTTAAGCCATCTGTGCATCCCATAAATCCAGTTCTGTTTGATCAGTAGACTCACCTGACAATGTTTTTATGCTTTAGCTCCTTCAGAAGACAGATTTCCCTCAGAGCAGAACTTGGTACCCCCTGAAAGAGATGAGATCCAGGCTGAGTTAGCGCTGACCTGCTGCTAGCAAGTTGCTAGCAAACACCGGAGCTGTCAGTGTAAAACAGAACAAACCTCGTCGTCGTCGTCCAGTCTGACCCTTTTCAAAGCCACAATTTCGTGGGTTTCTCTGTTTTTAGCCTTGAAAACGGTCCCATACGTACCTGGGGAACAGATAACGTTCAGCTAAATCACAGTTAGCGTCCCGATGAATGGGATAACAGATCCTCTCATTAGCTTAGCTACCCAACTTGCAAAGCGTTAATATCGTAAAAAACCGGCAGGGAGACAGATATGGTCACCGGCGCAAACTAGCGTAAGTCAAAGCTGTACAAACTCATTTGCATACGATGAACTGTGTGATTAGTTAACGCAGACACAGCGCGAACAGTGAAGCTAACGTTAGCTAGCTCGCTCTGCATCAACATGAATGCTAGGTTAGCATGCTAGGCTAGCTGATATTAACTTTCTAAAAAAATTAAAAAACGTAAGAAACTTACCCTCTCCGATTTTTTCAAGCTTTTCATATTTCTGCATGTTTGGCCAGTGAAGCCAGCTTTGGGCAAGCTAGCACACCAATGACTGACAAAACCCCTGAATTGGGGCTGAATAATGTTATGCTAGCTGACGTTAGCTTAACTCAGTCTGCACTTGCTGCTGCTGGTCGCTCCGCAGTCGAGCTCGTCTTGTTGGTCCTCTAGAGGCTGGAAGATGAACTGCAGCTCTGGTGACCAACTGCTTAATGCAGCAACATCTCAACATGCAGCATGTCAAGTTATATGAGGGCATTTTCTGACAGAATGTGGCTGTATGAGGACAGCAATAAATATATATACACACACATAAGGTAGACCCATTTACAGCAGCCACTTCCAAGCACCACATCCTCAGACTGTGCAGCTACAGATAACAGCTTTAGGGATGTGCTGCAGCAGACTATCTGAACAAAGTGCACTCTTAAGTGTGTTTCCCCTTTCCTAATATGATGATCATTTCTAATCTAATACCAAACCTGCAAATGGATCCTCGGAAGCTGTCGGACTACGTGTTGATTCGGTAAGTATATTTCCCACATGGCCTAATTTATCTGTTCAATGATGTAAACCCAATTTTAAAGCGGTGTAAATCTCAGCGGTTCCGTTCGGCGGCTAAGCCCATAATACAGTTAATGAATACTGATGGCTAATATTCACCAAGACTTTGTGTCGGCACACGGACTGTACCGACACACAAGAGACGGATAAAATAAAACCACAACAAAAAAAGTAGTAAATCATATACACGGACGTGGATGGCAGCTTTATAATACAGTTGAATCGCTTTCCCCTGAATAAGTGATATTGCCATAACAGCAGCTCCTTCCCAGATATCAGATCTAAAAACGTTATAACTCTGGGATCACTAGAAGAAATGGGGTTCAGTGTTTGGTTTTTCCAATTCTGGTTGTGACAAGAAAATCTATTATGATGATTCATTAAAAAAAAACAGTATTCTGTCATTAAAATCACATTTAATTCTTTTTTTTAATGCATTATAATTTATCATTCTATACAGGATAAGAGAAAACAGAGCTATGAAATCCCCCATTTACATTAAAAACTGTAAAGTAGTGTAGTTTGTTCATCACCACGGGCTGGTCCAGTTGGTCCACTTGTACATTCATAAATAGAAATCTGTAAGTTTGCCATAAAACTAGACGGTGACCTGGTACATTTACAATGCATTTTACAATATTCATCTGCTCGTGCACGTCTCCTCTATGCATCTCCTTTTTCGCTACAGATCTACTGTAAACACTTTATTTCTGGCCCTCTGCTCGCTGTCTGCGGATCAGATCCGAATAAAGTCCTCCTTTGCTCAGCAGTTCCAAGTGTGTCCCCGCCTTTAAAGAAAAGAGGAAGCTGTTAGATGCAATTAAATTTGATATTACAAGGTCTGTAAAACAAGATGCCAGTAACCAATATATCCATATGAATTACAAGAGCGCTGAATGAAGTCAATTCTTTTAAGGGCTCCTCTCGACTTACAAGCTACCCTCATAAATTATCGGAGGCATTTAAACAGAGATGAGAGCGCCTCCGTTTCTGGGAATACTCCTGATTCCTCACCTCCACAATGCGGCCGTTGCTCATGACACAGATTAGGTCAGCCCCCTGTATGGTGCTGAGCCGGTGGGCGATGATGAGCACAGTGCGACCCCTTGTGGCCCGGTCCAGAGCCTCCTGCACCACTCGCTCCGACTCTGCATCCAGAGCGCTGGTGGCCTCGTCCAGCACCAGGATGCTGGGGTTCTTGATCAAGGCGCGGGCGATGGCAATGCGCTGCTTCTGGCCACCTGATAGCGTCACGCCTCGCTCGCCTGGGTTTACAAACCGACAGATTAGAATTCGCGTGATGCACAATTTATAATCATGAAAGCTTGAACTGAGAGCACGTACCAAGCACAGTGTTGTAGCCGTCTGGGAAACTGGTGATGAAGCGGTGAGCGTTGGCTTGCTTTGCTGCGTTTATGACCTCAGCGTCTGTGGCCTCGGGCTTCCCAAAGCGGATGTTCTCCATGACAGATGATCCAAACAAAACCGGCTCCTACGAGGGACGGAGAATGCAGTGTATATTGAGTGATTAATTATTCCTATTTTAAAAACTGAATGTATCAGCAATGAGCAGTCTCTACCTGATTGATGAATCCAATGACTTGCCCCCGGAGCCAGGACAGGTCGAGCGTTCGAATGTCGAGCCCGTCCAACATGATCACGCCGCTGGTCGGGTCGTAGAAACGCTCCAGCAAGGACGCCACTGTTGACTTTCCTGTAGGGTTGAAATCTTGTGAGTTCACCATTTTGCACAGTTCGCATGTCCCACATTTAATAACAGCACAGACTTTACCTCCACCAGATTCTCCAACGATGGCGATAGTTTTAGCAGGAGGCAGCGTTAAGTTGAACCTCTGTAAGACCTGATGGCCGGGTCTGGTTGGATAACTACAAATGTACATTAAAAAAATCAATACGCAAAATCCTCTGACTCTGATTATGTCCAGTTAAAATGTAAAAATAAATTTACTTTGGGTTTGAATTAAGATGACTTCAACCTGAATGAAATGTTCATAAAGTCCACTCGTCCTGTCAGAGAGTGGTACGGGATGCGTCCTCCTCCACAGAGGGGGATCGTAGGCTGCAAAGCAAGGTATTCAAAAACCCTGGCCCCGGAGCTGATTCCTCTCACCATCTGGAGCAAATGTTAGAGATCAGCAGCTTGATTGATCAACTACAATTTAAAGCTAACTGTCAATCATGTTTTATATACATGATTTATATCCATGTATTTACGTACCTGTCCAAACAGGATTGAGATACTAGCCAAAGATCTGAGCATGAAGAGAAGAAATGAGTTACACCAAGAAATCTGGTACGTTTACGGTGATCAGTTTAAATGTCAATAGTTATGCAGAACAATCACTGTGGAGCAAGTTGTGTCTTTTACCTCTGAACAGTCTGGGAGGCAACCAGGAAAGACATGAGGTCTCCAGGAGACATTTCATTGCTTGTGATTAAAGTCCCTCCAGCGAAGATAGTTCCCAGGACAATGCCTGTATTAACAGCACACAACACAGAAACACAAGCATGACAGAAGTCCTGAGATATCAGATTCAGACTGTGTTCATCAGTTCAAAGAGTAAAACACACTCACAGTTCAGGGCAATGTTTGACAGTCCTTGGAAGACGGCTATTCCAGCACCGAGATTTTCATTCATCTCACAGGATTTGTCAACTTCATATGCATATAATCTGGGGAAACAATAATGAAAGTCAAACATATTATCTTAGACACACAGATACTGCATTTCTGAAAGTTATTTAAAAATATACTCTTACTTACTGGAGCTCCCGTTCCTCCATTGCAAAAGCTTTCACTGTCCGCACATTACCAAGGGCCTCATCTGCCACTCCGGTGGCTTTGGCCACCTTGGGTTTGACAACAAAGACACGCAAATAAAACTCACTATTTAAAATAGAAACATACCAGCAATTCCAGCGTGACATCTCATAGTACAAGCATTAACATATTCTGCAAATATACATCTTTTTTGTACAAAATAGTGAGAATCAGAGTGGGAGGCAAGATGTTGTGAAGAAACTTGGAATCTTGACATTTGTGGGCAGTAATGAGAACAAATCTATAGCGTGTTAAGAGAGGAGGAGATTATGTTTGCCACGTTCATTTCTTCTGCTCGTTTAGTATTTTAACACAAATCAAGCTGTTTAAATGACAAAACTTTTGTGATAACCATAAAAAGAACAGACTACTGCAACGTGCAAAGCAAACATCTACGACATTAAATACAACATATCACCTGTTCTTGAGCCAAACGGGACAGTTTGCGAAGGAATGAACCAATGAGAGCTCCGGCTCCCACCAGACAAGGAAGGACAACTACTGTCAGACCGGTGAGTTTCGGGGAGATGACATAGAGCGAGACAAAACAGCCGAGCGTCTGTGTGATACTCCGCAGACCCTGAAAGGACACAAAAATTGCAAAGAATAACGGAATTAGGGGGCTAAAGGATGCAAACACTCTTTGGAAACACAAACACTTGCGCTGTCACTGCTGAATCATGCTCGTGGTTGTACCTGAGAAATAACCAATTTAAAGGATGACTTGAACTCCTGAATGTCAGCAGTCAGACGATTCACCAGCTGCCCGGTTTTATTGGCATCAAAGAAAGCCACATCTTGCCTGAGGAGAAAGAATGGTGATGTAAAAAATGGGAATCCTTGCTGGATGGCAGATGTGTTCTGTAAACCGGCACCATTTTGGCTGGTTTATTTTATACTTTTACCGGAGCAAGGCTGCAAAGAGGGTCTTCCTCATGTCTGCTGCCACTCTCTCCCCCACCCTTGAGAGCAGGATGATGTAGCCACTCGTTAGCAGGCCCTGCACAGAGGAGGTGATTAATGACCAGGGAAACGGACCATTTTTCTATTAAACAGCTCTGACATTTGTTTGTTTGCATGCAGATTCTGTCTGAGCGGCGATAAGTCGAACAGAGAATGCAGAACGCAAACGGGCGTCATAGCTCTAAGAAAAATGAACCTTCTCCTACAATAAGATCTGAACCAAACCAGTGAGTGGAATAGAAGAACACTCCAACGCAATGTTTAATAAACAACACACAGACTATAGCCTTAAAAATAATGATCTTAGAAGGCTGAAACATTGTTATGTTGTAGGTAAAGGTTCACAAATGTGGTAGTTATTTTGCTATTTTATACAAGTGTTGCATTTTTTGTCTTATCAGTTATTAAACTGCTAATTAGTGAATTAACACTAATTTCATTGTTATCCTCTATATCACACATGCATGCCGAATATATGGTATTTTAGCACAAGACACAAGATAGTGGGAAAAAAAAGCAAGTGACCAGAATATCCTAACTATATCAGAGGTATATTGTATGTCCATTTGCCACGCCTTGTTCTTAGTCTATCATACGCTGGTTGTACTTGATTACTGTTGAAGCGTTGGCACCACAAGCAGTGCAGCTGCTCAGGACACTGTTGTGTACTTACTTGGATACCGTACAGTCCAAGTAATTTCAGAGCTGGACCTCTTATCTCGTGGATATAATTCCCAGTATGCTCTCTCAGGTAGCGTGCCACAACATTCACCAGATCCCCAAGCAGCAGGGGGATCTGAATGTTCAAAATCGCTGCACCGAAAGCGAGCTGAAAAGAGAAATCATTAGTTTAACCGATAAGCGTGAATGCCTTCGTAGTATTTCACTGACTTTGCCTTCAGATGGACTGATTCAGGCTTACCACCACAGCACCAATGAGAGCAAACAGCTGAGGTTTGACAAATTCCCACAGGATGTGCCATTTGAACTCAGGCACCGGGTGTTTGGCTGCAACTTCTACTGGGGTGTTGTTATTCACATCTGCCTCGCAGTGAGCTACATGGCACAGCAGCCGAGCTGAGACAGTGAGCACTGCTGGTCCCAGGATGAACTTGAGAGCCACTCCTGGGGGTTTCGATGTCCGGGCGGTGGACTGGCGGACAGCCCTCTGAGCCTGGCTCCAAATGCGACTGACAGCATTGCCGGGCCGCTGTGAGGAGCTGTACGCGTTAGACCCTGGAGATGTGTACCGCCTGGACATAAACCAGAATATTAACACAATTAAGGATTCGATGAATTAAATCTTGACAGTTTTGCAAAGCTAATCTAACATTTTTAGACAGTTTAATAACTCTGAATTAAGGCAGCGATGAGCAATTATTATCGATTGACCCGACTAATATTGCATCACTTAATCAATATTAATTCATCCTTTTTCTGTACAGTTTACAGTGGAGCTGCACCAGGAAGAACAGCCCCATTAAAACAGGATTTCTGAATACTACTGTCAGCATGTGGGAGAAAATTGAAAACCAGGCATCAGCCAATAGTGTTATTCAGTAACCACATCAGATAAACAATCTTGATGTTAATCCCATTTTAGAGTTGAAAATCATCAGTACTCTCTAGTGTAAACTGTTTCTAAATTAAAATTCTACAATTTCATTTGGCAAATGCTTTTATCCAAAGCGACGCACAACTGAGAGTCGATACAACACAAGCAAGGATCTAGTAAATGACTGAATTAATAACCTTTATTGTTGCTTACTGACGGACTAATACATTATACAAATATATGTAGAGTAAACCAATACTGCCAATATGTTGATTTATCACTCTACTAGGAAGGGACCGCTGCTTTTATTAAGGGTCAGTGATTCTTTTACTGTACATGGGGATGTGCGTATAGTGAGAATAAACCACAGATTTATTTTTTTAATCGCCAAAATGCAAAGTTGTTTTATTTACAGTTGTGTAATACAGCAAACCCTTACATGTAGGAAGCTGGTGCAGGCAACTGTTGTACCTTCGAGCTTGAAAACAATTAATGAACCTTATTATCAAAATTAATTAAAAATGCTTTACATGTTTTATGGGCTTTATTTCTTGTGCTGTTATGTAGTGTCAGTTAATCAGTAATATTCTTTATCACGTTTACAGTGTGGCCCTACATTATTATTTAATTTTAAATGCTTTTTTCTTTCTTTTTCTTTTTTTCTTTACTGTAAAGCCATTAATCATCTGAATTATGAAATTTGCGCCTGATTAATTTACTGTCACTCAATTAAGCTTCTGTTTCTGCCCTGGTTTGGATTATAAACTCATATACACGTGTACGTACCAGCTATTACAGGTGGCACTGTCAAGAAAATCAAATTAGGCTAAGTCTGCAGGTATTGATTACCTAACAGAGAGCAGATACAGGTCGTCTGTCATTAGCCAGGCTAGCTACCGGTCACATTAACCTACCGTGAGAGCCTCCAAATGTCTGCTGTTTTAGTGCTTCGCGAGTGTAACGACAATGAGCGCAACGGTGCCGTGTTGCTCGCTCTACAGCAGAGCAACTGAAACATGTTTGATGCTTATTTCAGCGATAACAAGCTAATTGGGATAAAATAATCGCTAAGCTCTACAGTAATCCAACGGCGCCGTGCGGGCTGCCATGTTGACACTGACCCACAGTGCATTTCTGGGGCTGCAGAGAACCGCGGTTTATATTTAAACTTTATTTTATGAACGACAGGAAACATACGGATATATTTTAAACTATTTTTGCAACGCTACCGAGGAGAAAAAAAACGCATTTTTTCGGGAAATCGTTAAAAACTACAATTACACCCGGACGTGACGTAGGTTACAACGGAAGTGGCGTTAACGGCGTTTTGTTGACATTTGTTTGTGAAAGACAAAAACAGTGGACACGCAGAGGATGGGTATTTTTGGAAATCAACTAACGGACCCCGGGACAGACTGAAGACCCTGGTATCGTAACCACAGCACACCTGTGCGTATTAATACGAACTCCGGTCGAGATTGGACTTAAAGCGAAGACGAAAGAAGATCAAGATCAGCAGATGGACGGAGCAAGTCGGGAACAAAACAAACCGTGTCACCCTGACTACATGAGTGGCTGAATCATTCACAGGCTAGCCAGACACCAGACTGTTGGCTTAGGTAGTAATCTTTAATGAACGCAACCGGCATCCATTAGTAAAGCTACCGAAGCTTCGTGTGCTGAATTTTTAACTCCAACGCAGTATTTTACATGTCATGGCAGTGTAGGGTTACACAAGCGCTGTCCGTCAGACTAGCAAGTTAGCAAGCTAATGCTAGCCGTAGCTACCCTGACTTGGAATGCTTAGAGCTGCCAAGTAGCTAGCAAAAACAGAATGTAGCTGAAGCTGCGAGGCGGCATTCGTTTCGTACAGTGTTTACCACAAGTAGCTCGTCAGTTGGGACTGAGTTGAAGAATGTGAAGCACAATGGCCAACTTTGAAGCCTACCAGGAGTATCAGAGAATTGAGGAGTTCGAGGAGGACTCGCCGCCAGGGGAGGAGGATTTACTGGTGCATGTGCCCGAAGGCCTGAAAGGTAAACATGTTATTACGGCTAAAGTTTGGAAAATAGTCATTAGTTTAACTGGTCGTGTGGCTGCTGTGGAAAGTTTTTGAACCCGAAAAAATACGTCGGTCACCTCAGAGCAGTTGATGCATGTAGGTCAACGGTGCTGGAAGTTATCTAATGCTTTAATTTCTGTTACAGACTCATGGCACCATATCAAGAACCTGGATAACTTCTTCACAAGAATATCCTTTTAAATCACGCTTTGCTGGTGCAAACTGGTGCAAGTTGTCCCATTTGTAGCAACGAATCTTAACACTGTTTAGTATCTGACTGCCTTGCAAGATGAAATGTGAATGTTTGTTGTGATGTTCTGTAGATTGTTATTGTTTAATCAGTGTTCAAGTATAACTCCATGCTGCTGTTTGACATTTCCCTTAACCTTACTGTCCACATTTATCATTTTCATCAAAAGAATGGCTTCGCCTGTATGATGTTGACAGAGTTTTTTGAACTTGTGTAAGTACTACAGAAATCAGAGCCCTAAAGGCAACATCCTGACCCATAGCAAATGAACCTTTAGTTATAGCCATCAGATTAAACGGAGGATAGTTGTTTTCAGTAGGACTTAGGCCCTCATTTGTGTCACTGGTTGTTTTTCACGTTGTTATGACAGTTAAGTTTGCCTCAGGCTTCAGCAGGAACAAGCTCAGCCATATGATTTCAGCTGAAGCTTAACAGGAATTTCATGGGAAACAGTTCTCCTTCTAAGTAATGAAATGCTTTACTAGTATTTCTCGTTGAATAGCTTGATTCTGTTAGCCGTAATCCCTTCATCCAGCCAGTGAGTCAGTGCAAACATCTTATTTTTCATATTGCTGCTGCTGTCTGAGATATATATCGTGTTGCTAAGGTGCCAGTAGGCCATCTCTATTATTGGTTTCTGCTCTGGTGTTTGTCTGATTCTTGCCACTGTGGGCCTATTAATATGGGCTGCTGAAAATCTGTCCACATAATGGAAGCATAAAACAGCTTTGTCAAGATATTTAATAAGTGAATTGCAATTGATCTGTATTAACCACAGTATTATGCATTAATGATGAGTCAGGGTGCACAGTCAGTCGTTAGACATTCGATATAGTTGCTTGTCTTAATACTGTATACCAGTTATTATTTTGCTTTTCTGGTGTTTTTACTGCCATTAAGAATGAAACCTAATCTCTGTTTTTCCCCCATTTTTAAACATTTTATCCCAACAGCCAGTTTTTGTTTGTTGTCACATTCACAACGTTCCTTGTCAACTGTGTGGAGTATGATGTCCTGTTTGCCAATCGAGCGGTCAACCACACCGGGCCAGGCCAGAACCCTCTGGATAGGAATAAAGTCACTCTGCCGGATGCCATCCTGCCCAGCCAGCAGTGCACTCAGAGGTAAAGATGTTTAATATATCACATCGGACAGCTCAGGTTTGTGCGGTTTTATTTTTTTCTTAAAGGCACAAAATGAGTTGAATAAATCAAAAATGGTGCACGGTCACATAAAGTGATGTCTGATGTGCCTGCTGTTTCATTACAGCCAGTTCGATTAGATAATTTGTTCTCAAGCAGAGTCCAGGATTAGAGATGGGCCTTTAGGGAGGTTTCCTTTGTCTGCCTTAATACTGTTGCAATTAGACTTTTGTACTTCATTTCTTATTGGATCGTGTTAGATGTGGTTTCAGTCTGAAAGATACAGTCAGTTTCGCAGGGGAGAGGTGGGTGGAACAGTCCCCTATTTAGTTCTATTTGGTACAATTCACTTGTATTTGTAATGCGAGGCAGTAAAATGACTTTAAGTAATTTTATCACCCGTCAGCACTGTAAAGCAACGACTTAATTTACCCACTGCTTCCTTGTATTCCTAAAATGTCCCAACATAAGCAGTTTACAAACAAAATATGGCCCCAGCAATATATTTTTATGAGTGCAATATTCTTCCAAAGACCCTTTTTCAGTCAAACGTGTGTAAAAATCTCTGTACCTGTGGTAGCAGCTGATTGCTATAGATACCATTAAATAAGGGATTTGTTTGAAAGGACCAGTTCTTTTAAAGCACATGAGGTTTAATCAGCCTGATTTGTCATTTCTCTGTTTGAAGTCAAGGACAAGCGAGGTGTCTTTCTATGAAATGTGTTTCTTTCTCAGTTTTACTGTTTTATTTCAACCTGAGATTGGTGGCTTTGAGTTGCAACATCCCTGCAACTCATGTTTACTTGGAGGAAGGTGTTTGTGTACGGTGCTCAGACCGGCTTTAGAGAACAGGGCGATGTAATTGATAGCTCCAGAGAGGTACAACTGGCCAGCCGAGATACTGACAACTTGGCAGGGCCAGCAGACTGACGACCACATGACACCTCTCTATCTGGCTGCAGGGGACAGAACGGTCGTCACTCCTGTGTTGCCATATTTTTTTTCTTTGCCACATGTATCCAGGACTCATCTTGTTTTCTCTAGCTTTGCTCATAAGCCTCTCTTCAATTGGTTCTTCATTCTGACTGTGGCTCAATAGTTGTTTATTTCAAAGTCAATGACGTGTGAACACTTGGAATTCTAATTTGGGAATAGCTTGTCCTACAGTCAGGAATCGCTCTGTCCCCCAGCTCTAATTTCCATTTTAAAGCAGTTTTAAAGCGTGTTTGCTTGTATCGATAACATGATGATCTGAAAGTGGCCTAATGGGAAAAATATTCTGACCTAATGTAAAAAAGATTTAACAGTCACACAGATACTGACTAATTTTAGTTTATAAACATATATTCAGAAACTTCCTCAATTTTAGAATGTAGCGAGCAGTTCATCAAACCCAAAACCTGTAAACAGGAACTTAATAGATTACAACATACACCAAGATCAACAGCTTTTATGCTTTTTCATCATGTTTTTAAATACGAATAATAAGAGTCAACTTACAATGTCACAGGAGGACAGGAGGTGTATGTGTGTCCCTGACTGTCCACTAGAGATGCTTATCATTTAACAGTAATTCTGATTCCGCTTTATTGTCATTTTTAGTTTGCCATCTTTCTGTTACCTTCCAAATATCCTGTAAGCTCTTTCTGTGGTGTCGAACACAGCTATAAGCAACATTTACACATGCACCAGTTATTGAATGACTAAAAGCCATTCGTTCATTACAAACTAAGTCTGAAAGGGATTTTGTTTCTGTTCAGGATTCAGGACAACAGCTGGATCATATTCCTTCTCATCATGGCCGCCATCTTCTGGATCTATCGTCTTGTTAAAGTCTTTTGCAATGTGTTGAGCTACTGGGAGATCAGGCAGTTCTACATCAAAGCGCTGAAGATCAGAATGGTGAGTGCTGCAGCTGGAGGCCTTTATTAAAATGTGCTACAGTAAAAGGTCATCCGAGTTTATCTTCACACCAGTGCCTTGTGTTTAGGAGATACGCTGAGTGTCAGTGATTTGAGTTGTGGTGTCAGTTCTTGTCTTGGTATTAGTTGGTTCACGTTGTCTCCGCTGCCTCTCTGTCCCAGGATGAACTATGCAACTTCACATGGCAGGAAGTTCAGGACCGGCTGATCAGCCTGCAGAGGGAACAGCAAATGTGCATACACAAAAAAGAGCTGACCGAACTCGACATCTATCACCGCATCCTGCGCTTTAAGAACTACATGGTGGCCATGATAAACAAATCCCTGCTGCCGGTACAGCTGCAGGTGCCCTTGCTGGGAAATGTGGTGTTCCTCACCCAGGGCCTCAAGTACAACTTTGAGCTCATCCTCTTCTGGGGCCCCGGCTCCCTGTTTCAGAATAAGTGGAACCTGCACCCCAAGTACAAGCGCAGCGGGAACCGGCTGGAGCTCGCCCAGCAGCTCAGCAGAGTCATCCTGCTGATAGGTTTGGCCAACTTGCTGCTGTGTCCCTTCATCCTGGTGTGGCAGGTGCTGTATGCGTTTTTCAGCTACACGGAAGTGATCCGCAGAGAACCCGGGAGTCTGGGCGCGCGGCGCTGGTCCCTGTACGGCCGCCTGTACCTGCGTCACTTCAACGAGCTGGACCACGAGCTGCACGGACGTTTAGGTCGCGGCTACAAACCCACCTCCAAATACATGAACTCGTTTACGTCGCCGCTGCTCACTGTGCTGGCGAAGAACATCGCCTTCTTCTCAGGCTCAGTGCTGGCTGTTCTCATTGCACTGACAGTTTATGACGAGGACGTTCTGACAGTGCAGCACATTCTGACTGCTATCACTGTGCTGGGGGTGGTTATAACGATCACCAGGTGAGTCCTCAGGGTCACTTCTTTTCAGTGGGGCAACTCCAGGATCACTATTAGCAGGCATTAAACTAACCTACTTTTAAACAAATACACTTAATGTTTATATGCTATCATGCACTTTATTCATTCAAGTTCAGTCATTTCTTTTCTTCACTTGTCTTTGTGTGCAGAAGCTTTTTTATTTGTAGAGGAAAGATAACTGTGTAGGAAGTTAACACTCACTTGTGCCTATGGGCAAATTTGAGGCGTCTTTGTCGTCTCGTCACAGATGTTCAAGCTAGAATTGTAACGTTTTCATGATGCCCTCTCCTGTTTTCCTTATTTGCTTATCTCGTATGTACAGGAATTGTATGGCGCTAGAGTTGACATTTTGTACCTTTCCTGTGCCAGGTCTTTTATCCCAGACGAGCATATGGTGTGGTGTCCAGAACAGCTGCTGCAGTGCGTGCTGGCACACATTCACTACATGCCAGACCACTGGAGGGGCAATGCTAACAAGAGCGAGACCCGTGACGAGGTTGCACAGCTGTTCCAGTACAAAGCGGTGAGGAGAGCCGTAACTCAGCGGACAGGAACACATTTGTCATTTGTGTGGATTTGTTTTGGCCGTGATTGATGATGTGTTTTTTTGGGAAACAGTCAGATAACAAAATCAGTGGAGTTACTGATAGATTTTGGAGAGCGCTCGTCTAGACATGACGTGGTTTAGAGGATAAACATAAACAAAGAAGTGAAAACCTGTAATATCTCTGTTTAAATCAGGTGTTTATCTTGGAGGAGCTGCTTAGTCCGATTGTCACGCCCTTCATTCTCATCTTCATCTTGAGAAACAAGTCCCTGGAAATCATTGATTTCTTCAGGAACTTCACCGTGGAGGTGGTCGGAGTTGGAGACATATGTTCCTTTGCTCAGATGGACATCAGACGCCATGGAAACCCAACAGTAGGACTTGTTCATTCTGTGTCGCCAGATTAAAGATAAGCCGTCTCTGTTAGCGCTGAGTTTCACATGTGTCTTTGGGTGTTTTTGCAGTGGATGTCAGAGGGCCAGACGGAGGCCTCCGTGTACCAGCAGGCTGAGAATGGCAAGACTGAGTTGTCCCTCATGCATTTCACCATAAAGAACCCGCGCTGGCAGCCGCCGCAGGAGAGCTCAGTGTTCATCAGCCACTTGAAGGAGAAGGTGCACCATGATGCACAGGGCGGCCCGTCCACCCAGCTGCTGCTCTCCGAGGCTCCTCTCTGCACCTCACTACAGTCCAACGAGTCCGGCACCGGGGTAGGAACTCTGAGAATTAAGCATTTATAAAGCCTCAAAATCGCATTGTCTGGAAGTGCAGTTATTAAAAGCACACATTCCTGACCATTGTATGTGTTTGCTGTTGTTCTCAGCCTGATAACCTTCTGGCCAGCGTCCTTGCCCACCCTATTCTGACTGCATCAGGACTACAAGGGCGGGACAGTCGCTTCATCCCGCCAAGCACTGCTGCCTCCGCTGCAGCCAGCGTCCTGGCCTCTTTGTCCACCTCCCAGCTCGCGCATGCCGGCCGTGGCCGCTCACATCACAGCCTCCTGCCCACCTCGGTCCACCCGGAGACCACCATGTACCGCAGCGATCGCACCTTCATTGACAGGTGTTTTGAGATGTTACATCTGTGGCGCAGTATTAATACACTGCAGTTAGAATAGTTACAAATAAATAGATTATAAATACATGCAAAGGCTTGTCGTCAGCTTCAGGTCATGTGCTTCTTTTTTCAGTATGTCTAACAGTGACTCTCGCATTCGGAGCAATGCGCTGCACTCAGAGTTTGCCTCAGCAGAGATGAGTCTCCACGCCATCTACATGCACGAGGTAATACCCTGACCTTCAGCGGTAACCCCTGGACACTACAGCTGATGTTAATATCATGCTTTTATGTGGAGTTAAAATGTTTGTATGAGTGTCACATATGCAGCCTTCTGTAAGCTGCTCATGTAGCATAGAGGCTTCTATTCATGTCATTTACATTTGCATTTGTTTTATATAAAGCTCTTGTCAGGCTCTTTCATTTTTAATATTCAAAAAGCACACATTAGTAAACCACCAATCAGCTGCATTCAGAGGTGCTCTGACCACTGCTTGTCTCTGCAGCTCCACCAGCAGAGCTCCCACCCACAGAGAGCGTCGGGCCAGTGGCAGAATCCAGTGCCAATGAGAGAACTGCACACAAACACTGGTAAATACAAATATTCCTACTGCAACATAAAATGAGCTGTTGTCTGTGCGGTTCTGTGTGTTGGTTCGGGTGAGATGCTCCATTTAGAGGATATCTCTGGTTTGAAATCAAATGACTGCATGTAATGAAACAGTACTTGTCGTGCTGAAGTTACGGTTGTGACCTAAACCTCCGTAGCCTTCGGTGATGTTACACATGAGAAGCAGTTTTAATGCTTCTCAACTTGAGTGCACATGCTAATGCCTTGCAGAAACCAACCCTGAACCGACAACTTGTCACGCAACATACATGGAAATGAGAAACACATTGCGAGTTTCTGAACTGTAGTGAAATAAATAGAGATCAGTCAGTATATTTATTTGTCTTTACAAAGTGATGCATGACACATTAAAGGTTTAAACAGTATTTAACTTTGCCAGATGAATGGCTTTTAAAAGCATGGCCTTGTAAACAACAAAAGATAATAAAATAAAAGGTAAAATATTAAATCTTCTGTGTTTGAATACTAAAAAAACATCAATAATTCCCCTTTTATTAACTAGAGTCCAGGCCAATAAACCTTGTGCCCTCATCCTTGCCAGGTTTCCAGGGACACGGTGGCCTTGGTTCCAGCATGCCTGCCCCGGTCCACCTTGGCGGCTGGCAAGAGGAGGAAGAAGAGGAGAATGAAGATGATCAGGAGATAAATAGTGGATCTGCTCCAAAACAGGGCACTGGGAGTAGTTGTTGAAGTGCCTTTTGTCATAAGGTATATGCTCTCATTTGTGTAATACCACGCATCCACAGTCCATCCTTTGTGGTTCTGTATTCTGTGGCATTGTTTGTTGAACCTATTGATGGCCTTTTATCCTCCGAGGATACATTGCCATGATAATTTCTCTTCTCTCTCTCTCTCTCTCTTTTTGTGTTTTTTTTGTAGTGTTTACATTTTGCTTTCTTCAAAGAACATTGTGGCCTTAGATGATCTTCATGGAGAAATTAGCATGGACCTTTAATACACCGTTCAGCGTTTGTTGTAGGAGGGGCTCATTGAATAACCACTATCTCTGCACCTCCGCACCTCATCCTGTCATATCAGGCAGACTATGGCATCAGGGAAACCATACGTCTTCCGTCCACTTCATCCTGGTTTCGTCATTAACTTGTACAGACTGCATATAAAGCTCACGTGACAGAGAGACAGTAGAGTGTGTTCACTGGGTCGACTGGTGTCGGTTGTGGGCAGTGTTATTGTGAAATGCAAAAAGGCTCATCAAAGCTTCTGCTGTGCCTGTGTGTGTGCACAGGTCGAGTATTTGTGCATCACAAGGTTTAACAGTGCAAGTATAGCTGAAGCTCCACAGAGATGGAGGAGTCTTGATCTGTGCTACAGGACAAAGACTGCAAATTGTATCTTAGCTGCCTGAACAATTTTTATCACCTAAAAAAAGAAAAGAAAAAAACCTTCAATATTTCAACTGTGCTGTTTGACCCTTGTGATATGTAAATACACTTTTGCGTCTTACTAATCCTTTTAAACCTAATCCTTTTTTTTTTTTACTTCAAGAGCTAATCCTTGAAAAAGATACCAAGTATTGATATGAAAAAGAAAAAAAGCTGACTGTACAGTAGCCGTACTACTACAACACCATGTGTATCTGGAACAAGCTCTGTTGGGCCTAGATAGAGTTATATAACATGTCTTTGAACCAGACGTACACATGCTTTGATGCTGCTATCTGTGTTTATTGTTCCTAAATGCAGATTTTGTTCAGTATTAATATTTCTACGGCTGATGTATCAACATATTTGCTTTTCTTAAAAAACAAAACAACAACAAAAAAACAACAAACAGGACTGAAATATTGGGCACCAAGTACACTTGGCCTCAAAATCCCAATGCAGATAGAAGATGCCTTTTAAGACTTATTGAGCTGGACACAAAGTCAGCTTTATGCCTTAACACCCAAATAAAAGCATCTATTTAAATCCTAGTTTTCCGTATTACCTCAGAAGAAACACTAATACTTCAATCGATACCTCTGCAGTGTATTTACAGTTGTGTAAATATTTATACATGTGGATTTTTTTTTGCAGTGTACAGATGCATCTTTTAACTGCATTTTGATTTTAATGGCAGGTGTAAATGGAAACTATTTCATTTCTGCTTCTTATTTCCTGCCCAGCCGATGTTTCGAGTCGAGCTCTGATGTCCCAGAAATGGTAGAATCATTTTTAAGAACAAAACAGGGTGGTGTTGCTTTTACAAATCTCTCTTTTTGTGTGTATATTAACATTGCTTGTGTCCCTTTTCCCCCCAAAATGCTCACATAAAAAACGGAATGCATCATAAGGGCTGATTTCAGAGTGTGCACTGTTGCATCTGCATCTTTAGAATTGAAGATTTTAGGACAGTAGAGCACAAGGAGAAAAAGCTTTTGCGTCGGCGGCATCAATCGTTAGCTTTAGCAGTATTTATTACCCGTCTCCCCCCACGTATTTAATTAATACAACTATAAATGTATTATTTATTTTATAAAAATTATCTGGATTGTTTTGCCAAAAGAGAAAAAAAAAAAAGCTTTTGCATATGCTTAGAATCTTTTTAATGAAAGAAAAATTCCCCCCAAATTTTTTGATTAAAAACAAAAAATGAAAAAGGTTTTACTCGTGCACAGATGACATGCCCAGCTGCATGATGTTGAATGTGATTTACACTCAAACGGGGACTGAATCAGCTTGTTGATGTAGTGTGCAAAATATCCCTCGACCCATTTTTACTGCATTCTGCAAATAGTACATCACAGTAATATAAATCCCATCTTCCTCGGCTGCAGAGCATCAGAGGCGACAGATACGTCTTCACCCTCTTTAGAAACTATTCCACTGTTGTTGTTTTTGTTGCTGAGTGTGTCTGTGTCGGTGGAAGGGATGCATTTTACTCCTGCGTAATTATGCTAACAATAACTCAGACGTTTGCACTGACAGAAAACCGTTTTCTAAATGTGTGTGAGTGTATGTGTGTGTGTGTGTGTGTGTGTGTATATATATATATACAGTGCTTGCATCAGTGACAGTGTAGAAAAGACAGGTCTTGTCAGGTCAGTGTTCCTCCTGATCAGTCTCCTCCTCACGTTGTATATAAGCGTAACATCAGCATGTATTGTCATTGTCCACAGCAGACCACAAGGAAACCCTGTGGCCTGTCGCGTGAGGTCACGCTTACCTCTGGTCAGTAAAATATCACCCTGTAGGGAATAACGTGTGTTTCTGTCACACACTTCAATATGCTTACATGGGTTTGTGCTCACAGTTTTCACGGCGTGTGTTTCAAACGTGGTGAGTTTATGTTGCAGAGACACTGGAGTCTCCACGAAAAGCATCCAACGTTAGTCGTTTTATTATAAGCAGAAGCAGTGCCTTAGTATTAAGGATTTGCTCTTTTTAGAAGCCATTTCATGTAAACCTGTCAGATTTAATTTCAAAGACCTAACAGCACATGCGATGTACAGTATTTTGGATCAGTAAGTCAGTGTGTGTAGCGTCACGTATGTAGTGGAACTGGTGGTGTGGCATGCGGGATGCAAACTGATGTGTCAGTCTGTTGTGTCTGGCAGCGCACTTCTTCTCGTCACGGTGTCTAGGATTGCACTGTCTTCAATATTGTAAAGATAAGCAGGAGCACGCCTTGTAATTGGCAGCGTCATCACGGCCAAACCTCTCATCACACTTTGGTTTCTTACCCACTACACGCCAGTCGAAGAATCACAGTGACTGGAACAAGGTGCTAAGTTTTCATCCTGAAATGGTGAATATGTTTTGAGACATGTCTTGGTTTTTGTTTGTTTGTTTTGTTATAAAGGTTTGTCTGTCTGCTTTGTTCTGTAAATTAAGAAACGTCAGCTGAAAAATGAAACATGCCAAAAGAACTTTGTTTTCGGCACAGCTTTACAATACGTGTTGTTGTTTTCTGTGAGTGAGTAGAAAAAGGCAAATAAATCTTATTTTGAGTGTATTTAATCATTTCATGTGTGGTTGATTATGTATCGTTTACTTGAAATAAAAATCTATTTTAATTTTGCTGGTTTTGATTCGCTGTGGCCAGTTAGCGGCGTCAGCCTGCAGCACATTCGCTCTGAACTCTGACAGCCGGTTTTGTTGGAAATAACTCTGTTAGTTTTTGTTTTTTTCAATTCCAAGGTTTAAAAAATTTGAATGTGAAACACTTTCTTTAAAATCATTTGCCACCATTCACAGCCAAGCTGTCTTTTGGTCCAAAATACCATCTAAGGATGAAGCATTTACTGGATGGATTATCGTCATTATTGTAATTACGGATGAGTTTGGTGACGCTTGGCTGTTATGTAGCACCGCCGACAACACCATATCTTATTAACTGCTAGCTGTTGTTTGCATGTATTTCCTTAAAAATCTCTAGATACAATATAATAATAGCAAAGCACTGGTAGTTTAAAATATATTGACAAGAAAGAACAAAGTATTCAATAATCAGAAAGAATTTGACAAGTAGAAACGTCTCTAAATTGATGCCAGCTGTCATTTATTGTAGACTCACTGCACAAATGTGAGACAGACTTATGCATACCTTCTTCTCCCCTCTTTCTTGCTCACTGATCCTCTTCAAATTCTAGTCAGCTGATTCCTCTTACCATCCATCCATCCATCCATCCATCCATCCAGATCTCACATATAAGGACACTTAGAATGATTTGCACCTAAGCTGATTTTCAAGAGGATCTTCCATCCTAACACCTAATCAAGTGATGTTTTTTATGATTTAATAAGGACTTTTATCTCTCTTCATTTTGTACTTTTATGGTTCTTGTTGCATAACCTCACTAACCTGTGCTGCCCCATGTTATGATGTATGATATCTCCCATGTACAATACTGTAAATTCTGTCCACGTTGTAAATAAACACACTGCGTTTGCTATCCTCTCATCTTGTTTTTGTCTGCAGTCGCCCTCACACTAACATAGCAGGGAACAAACGCGCCATCTGCTGTTCATCCTCGGTACTCGGGCTTCGACACAACTAACATTTGTCTCACTTGTCGTCTGCCATGTAGATGTTCTTGAGGTAACACCCATGTGTTTTGGGCTGCGAACATGATCCAACCGCGACCTTATTCTTGAGATGTCTGAGAGGTCGGCTGGAAAGTCGCGTAGGTCAGATAAGAGGGTGTTCATTGCATCCAGTTTGTGAAAAATTGTCTCATCACAGAGAAATGTTGTAATTGGGATCTAGCTGCTGGAGGTGTGGCCGTGCACTGCGCTCCTGCTCATTGTCCTCTGCTGTGTTTGTGCTCCAGGTGCCAGGAGAGAGCGTTTACTGTCTGAGCGTGACTTTTAGAAGGTTGTGGAAATGCCATCCGAGATGTGATTAGATTTTGTTAACCGCACGGGCGTGAAGAAAAGTTGCCTAAAAAAAGAACAAACAAGGGGGAGGAAGTCAATCTGAGGTAAGTTTAAATCAAAGTTTATTCCTTTATTTCCCCTCTATGTTACACTCCGAAAGGTTTGGACGGCTTGTGGAGTCGGATCATAACACTACCTATCAATTCTTGTCACTTTTTTTCTACTTATACTCTCAGGGGGCATGGAAACCAAACACAGGAGCCAGGGGCAGGATGAAGCAGAGGCAAGCAGCAACAGTGGATTACCGTCTGCTAGAGTTTCGGAGAGTTTAAATCAGGGTCCAGGCGACCTGCTGCTGTCAGTCACTGGCACTCGGGGGGGAAAGCCCACGCTGGAAGAAATACCACGGACGCCAAAGAATAGAAGGTGATAAGAGGAGCATTGGTTTTAGGCACTATGAGCAAAACAGGCTGTTGGTTTAAGAAATAAAATGAAGACTTTGACAATCAGTGATCTGGCAGTGCATTTAGAGAGGTGGACACATACTCTGCAACCTGAAGTTTTGCCATGTTAGATGTTATCGAGCGTTTGCATCAGGGTGGGAATGTCATGAGGATACATTTAAAGGATTGTACAACATGAAGTCATAATTTAATCACGGACCCGATGAGCCGTGTAAAGCAGCTGTCACAACGGTGGTTACAGCAGGCCGCAAGCTCCGGGGCCGGTTCAGCCGATGTTTCCTGCCCAGTCATCGGTGCATTGTGTAGGTTTTATTAATAAAAGTACACGAGGTTCTAGAAAGGACAGCCAAACCAGAGTGAGACTGGTGGATGTCAAAGGGAGCAGGATAGACTGAATGTCCTGAAGGAACGTTGATAATAGAGGAAATCAGGACTGCTTTTGCTGCAAGATACCTGCTACCAGTTAAACCAACAAAAAAATGGAAGCATTAAAGGTTTAACAGATCCTCAGTCTGATTGGAGGAATGATATCTGTCCAGTGCACAGATCAGAGCAGGTGTTTGGTCTAGTTGATCTGAAAAAGAGTAATAAATAAAAGAGTCATAACTGGGAAAACAATGCCAGAAATGTAAAACAACCCCGAGAGTAACCTTGGTCATGATAACTGTGCCAAACTGGTAATTTAATGACGAGGACAGGACATCTGGTGTTCTGTGTGGAGCCTCAGTGCCCGAGTGTCGTCGTTTAAGAACCCCGGTGTGCAAATTAACTTCACATTTAACCCGGCGCATTCTGAAGCTGCGGAAAGTCGACACCACACATCATTAGATGCAGATAGATGTGGCAAGAGATTGACTTGCAGGTCTCTGGTTTGCACGTTCGAGAAAGTGCAAGTGAAGGTGCAATTCCTTTGTGGTGCCGCCGAGTCTGGTCTGGAGTCATTAACTGATTTGTGTATGTGACACCAGGACAGGGGATTTCACTGAAGTTTACGAAAAATTAGTTCTCAAATGTTCAGACAACTAAGGGAGAAACATCACAACCACCTGGATGAAAGAACAAATGAGCTAAAGGCAGTTTTTTTTTTTTTTTAATCCCCCAGATTTGGGAGTTTTTTGGGTTATGGGAGGCAATTACATAATACAAACTATACATGGTAGAGGTGTGGGTTACAGTATTTTGGGCACATATTCTACAGATAGAAATATTTAAATTTGATTCATTTTAGGGCAACAAATGAGTATATGAAGAAAAAAAAGTCCAGATTTATTCACCAAATATGCTGTGTTGTGATGGTTTGTGTGTTTCAGTGTGTGGAGAAGGCCTTGAAACAGCATTTAACCTTCATGCAGAGAATTTGAATTTACAGAAAATATAATTTAACTGCTAAACATAAAAGCAAGATTTACAGACTTCTCTAGCTGTCTATTTCTAAGCTGGTAAAAAAAACTTTACGAGGGGAAAACGACTTCGATCAAAGCAAGGGGAGAATGTAAAAGGATGGAATTAAGAAAATGTGTTTCAGTTTCCAGGTTTTATTTCAACGACATTGAGGTAGAGGCCTCGTTTATCATAAAGCTGAGTAAAGACACAAATACAGTCGTGGACTTTTAGAGGAGTTTCAGCTCCATATACTGAGAAAATCAGAAATAACAACTTTATTGGTCAAGTTTGTACATGCAAGCATGGATTTTGACCCCGGTGAATCTTAGCTCTGTGTGTGAGGGGAAAAAAAGAAATAAACTAGAACAATATACAATAAGAGTAAGAACAATAAAAAATAAGCGTAGGCAATAAATAGCAGTATTTGTGTAAAGACGCAGGGTTACTTGGGTAACATTTAAAATAATACCTCATCTGATTTGTACATTTTTATTTGAAAAGCCACTACAAGGCTCATTTATTAGAGGTGGGTTTGTTTTGCTCAACATGTCCAATGTGCAGAAAGTGTTCAATGTTTGCTGCATTTTTAAATAAAGTTTATTTAAACGTACACATTGTGAGCATAAATCCTGTTGTGATGCATATGTGTGTACTGAGTGTCATTAAAATGAATAGGTGCACATTTAAAGAGGCTACTTCTGCAAACAAAAGACAATAAAGATCAAAGAGTAAATCATGATTATGTGTGTTGATTTCATTATATTGTGACTTGATAAAGGACACCATAAAGACAAGAATGCAGGAAATTAAGAGTTTTATGTTAAATATTTTCAGGGGTAGAACCTCCTCAGCCTGACCCCCCACAATGCCCAGAGGAAGTCCACGTCCACGGCCACAAACACACACAGGGCATTTTAGTGTCCCTGTGCCCATAAAATGTGATTTAGCCCCTTTGTGACCTGTCACACATGAAAGTGCTGCAGCCGAAAGTTTGCGAGGAGCAATTCGGGATATCGGAGCTGTTTACAGCCTGCAAGTGTCCGTATTGTGGTGAGCAGCCCAGCAGAGGCCAGGCCAGGCCTCGGCAGCAGCTCCTATCTCCAAATGACAAGTCTATTTTAGAAAAGGAGGCTGCGCCAGAACAGGCACGTCAGCTATTTGGCATCATGAGGCACCGGAGAAGAAAGAAAAAATAAGTCTAGTCAACCGCCCACCACAGGAGACTGGGGGATGTTCCACCATCCTGGATTTACAACCATTTCAAGGATATTTGAGCACAAAGAAGACATTTTTTAATTATAATTTTTTATTTTCCTCCTCCCTGGTATCGGAGCGGGCTACCATCCGGACAGCTTGACGGCTAACGGTCGCTTTTAGCCTCCATGATTCAGCGCCTGTTTCACCTGAGTGGCTGAAGATTCAAGGTGAACAACGTTAGGCTGAATAATAGCTTTAATATTAAACGACAGGGTGATATTTGCGCTGAAACTTGCCTAAAGTTGGCGGTTTTTTAAAGCTAATTTCAACAGAAATGTTATAAATGCTAATTAGTTGGATTTAAGCTAGCAGTTTCCGGCTACGCTCAACAAGCTAGTTTTTTCCCTACATTTTCATACTTTTGCTAAGTTATTAATTAAAATCCCAATAGGGGTTTTAATTGAGGACCTTTTCTCAGCTGGTAGGAAAAAAAGGAAAGTGCTAGAAATGAGGTATGTTTTCCGAAGTGGCAGCTTTATCAAACAGCTGATGTTCCTTTCGCTTCTACAAATGGCAATGGACAGAGACGGGCCCTGACAGCTGAGGTTATTTTTGGGACAGGCGGTTCAGGCAGACAGAGGTGACAAAGCTGGCAAATGTCAGTCTCTGAAAGGCACATATCTGCTTTATTTGACCTTGTTACAGGGGAATTCATTTGTTGTGCTATTAAACAGTGCGCTCCCGTTGAACAGGCTGCTGCGCTATTAAGCCCATTAATGTAGCTGCAGGACAGTGTGGTGCGTTCACTGACATGCAGCTGCTATAAATATGCCAATCTCAATTCTGGGTTTATGTCTATTTTCATAGCATATCGTATTTATAGTGCACACATAGCGAGCTTACAGTGGTCTGTGTGCATTTGGCAAGGTTTAATTTAATGTGTGGAAGAGAAATGGGCACAAGATGACAGCTTTTATATGAGCATGTAAAAGTTTGTGTTTGAAGAGTTCATTTGCAAAAACAGATAACTGCATCTTCACAAACCTTAAGAGAACCCACGTTTTCCATCATTGAAACTTAAGTTATCCCTATTTTTTTTTGTAGTTATGCACGATATCAAAGTTTCTGGCCGATATTTAGATTTCTGATATCGCCGATAACCGATATTGCAGATGTCGATATTCAGTTTTTGTTCACACTGAAAAAATGAGTATAAGTAAGCACTGTGAGGACGTGAAAACTATTTAGAAGAAGCCCAAATTAGACTACATAGTCTTCTCTATTACATAACAAAAGTAAAACACATTTAAACATACTTTAACATATTTAAAGTTCAAGTCCATTTGAGTAAAAACATCTGTAAAACAGCAGCGATGTCAAACGTAGAGACGAAGGCGCTGATGTTAGACAATCATCGGTTTTTCACATCGGCTAAATTTGTTCATTGTACTGATATATCGGGAAAAACACTAATATCAGCCGATACTGATGTGATCGCCGATACATTGTGCATCCCTCCTGTTTTTATAATTTCTACTGAGTCAAATCCAGTCAGCTTCAGTTTGATTGATATTATCTCAAGAAAACAACAACAACAAAAAAAAGTTTCTGAAAATCTACGAAAATGGAGTTATCTGTTTTTGTAAATTAACTCGTCATTTGCTTTCGGACTTATTTCAGTTTAATTGTAAGACTGATTAGTATCTGACTCATAATCAGATGTTTTCATCAGCTACAGTGATAATTCAGGACGTATGAAATGTCATATTTAATACTGCAATTTATGTGTTTTGTTCCATAATGCTGCATCCATCTTTGATAACAGGAACAAACGATGGATCAAAATCTGTTCGGAGGAGTCCCCAGGTTCCTCACCCGCCCCAAGGCCTTCTCGGTGTGTGTGGGCAAGGACGCCACGCTGAGCTGCACCATCGTGGGCAGCCCAACCCCGCTGATCACCTGGGAAAAGGAAAAGCTCAAGCTAACATCCGGCGGCCGCTTCAAGACCGTGGAGGATGGAGACGTGTACCGCCTGACCATCTACGACCTGACGCTGGAGGACAGCGGACAGTACATGTGCCGGGCCAAGAACAGTGTTGGGGAAGCGTACGCTGCTGTGACCCTGAAAGTGGCCCTGCCGACAGAGATGGCTCAGAGGGCCCCTGTTTTCATGGTGAAGCCTACCTCTGCACGTGTGGGTCTGGGAGGTGATGTGGTTTTCCTCTGTCGGGTTGCAGCTTACCCCGAGGCCAACTTTGACTGGGAGAAGGATGGGCGCTACCTGGGTGAGTCGAACCGCATCAAGATTGTTTCTGACAGCGACAGCAGCACCTTGAAGATCCAGAGTGTGCGCAACCTGGACAGCGGCACCTACACCTGCAGGGCCCAGAACGCCGTCGGTCGAGCTCATGCTGCCGCAGCTCTTGCTGTGGACGCTCAGGATTCTCGCCACCTGACTTCAGATAAGAGCACCTCCCTCCTCTCGCACCTACAAAAGCGCAAAGAGGAAATGAAGAAAGACATCGCCGTGTATCGCACCGAAGAAAGCAGCGCCTCGGTTTCTTCCTCCTCCACGGTCAACATCTCCAATTCTTTGAGCTCTCTGGGTCTGGAACACGAGCTGAGGGCATCTGCACTGGCGAAGCTTCCCAAAGGTGTGTTCACGCGTACCTGCACAGTGACTGAGGGCAAGCATGCCAAACTCAGCTGCTTTGTGACGGGGCACCCCAAACCCCACATTATCTGGAGGAAGGACGGGACAAACATCAGCGAGGGCCGCAGGCATGTGATTTATGAGGACCAAGCTGAGAACTTCATCCTCAAGATCCTGTATTGCAAGCAGAGCGATAACGGTCTCTACACCTGCAATGCAACCAATATGGCTGGGCAGACCTACAGTGCTGTGTTGGTAACAGTCAAAGGTAAGCGGTCAAATCCACAGATTCTTCTCATAGCAGTAAATGTTTGTAGTTTTTTAGCAATCCCATTTGATAGAGTCCCATTGGAGCGAGACATTTTATTTAAATTCATCATCTATCTGCATGTGTCACTGAGGCAGACACCCTAGACTACTTTATATCAGGTACTTACAGCATATTCCTAACATTACAGGGGTTAAAGGATAAACTGGCCTTATTCTATATTTATTAAATCCAGTAAGTCCTTTGACAAGTCTAAAACCACATTGTGGTTCAGGCCCAATTCATCCCACTGAAGACATAGTTCTTTAATGATACTAAACACAGAGTTTTATTGTTAAGAAGGCATGAATCATTGTCTAAAGGGAGCACATGATGCATTTGCTGGGGGGTATTCTGAGCTGCAGACTAATACACATTTGGCGCTCTGGTCAATATTTATAACACTGTGATGGTGTTTGTGTAATTTACTGGAAATAATCCACAGTGATTGTGTTCGTTACACAGAAGGAACATGTCGCCCAGTGCAGCGGCGTGGCTAAGTTCAGCTTTTTAATAGCTGTTGGCAGTAGTGGTCGTCTAAGTGTCATTGTACTAAAGTCTCATTTAAATCTCTTAAAATGCGTGTGGCTTTTCACAACGAGGGTGAATTCTGGCTCATCCTCTGAAGGAAGGTGTTGTGTTGCATCTATTTTCTGCTGGTGATGAGTAGTTCACAGTTGCTAAGATGGTCACTCGCTCATTGGCACACCGTTAGTGTCACTTCCCTGGGGTAGAAACTGACCTAGTGGATGAAACTGTAGAGTTGTAGATTGATGTCGGTTAATAGTCTGCGTTGAGCCCGATAATGAGTGCCGAGCCACCGATGTACCTGCTCACTGGAGCTGCAGGAAAATCAATACCTGTGATGTTTGCTGCACGGTGTGTTAGTTTGCTGGACTCAAAGGAAAATGTTTAAATAAAAGGCATACATTTGGATTTTTTTTTTGTGGTTTTTATGACCATTTATTGATTGTGCAATAAATATTTAAAGTAGAGCAACCGATAAAAACAAAAGTTCATTAAGTACAGTAGGAAACAAAATTGTAATGTGACAGCAAATATGAAACACCGTCACAGCCACTGAATTCTCCGCTGCTTCTGATGCACCAGTTCAACAGAAATAGGCACCGAAGAAAAAACTGGATATTCAACAAAATAGACAATTATGTAACCTTCAATTTAACATGTTTATTATGGGTTAGACATCAGAAAAGGGGTTCTGGCAGGAAATGAAGTCAGTCACATTCATGTGAAATGTCAGCTAAGGCTCACTTTACAGGGGTGTCGAACTCCGGTCCTTGAGGGCCGCAATCCTGCA